TTGAATACGTAAGGATACAGCTTTCAGGAAGGGGGAACCGGCCAAGCAGAGGGCTGCCATTACTTTTGTCCCTTCCTCAAGCTATAGCAAAATTGCGCGATGTAATCACCTGATACGTCGCCAAGCTAATCTGGTTTGTCTCCTGTGGGCACTTTTACGTACGGACAGGGAAAACTACATGCTTCGGCTTAAATGCATTCTACATTTCACTAACATGGGTGTTTGAATCTGAGTCGAAAGATAACCCCACTGTTTTGACGTTTTTTCAGAGGTCACAACGCTTTAATCAGGAGCCAAAATGTCATTAAGCAATGATACTAATCAATGTTATTACTATCATGCAATCGTGATGAATTCGTTCCCAAGCATATATGTATATTTCAAACAGAACAACAGAGTGGCGAACAAGCTGGTTTTCAGATATTTGTATTCGCGCCAATATATCTCAATACATATCACTACCTGGGAATAAAATTATCTTCGGAAAATAAGACAAAATAAAATAAAATTTTGAGGTCAGCTCTAGACCGTACATTCCCAGCTGCTCAACTCAGACTCATTGCCTCCACTCGTGGAATTGATTTGGACAAACGTAAACATGGCCGGCTAACCAGTTCCTTCTCACACACTGTACTTTTCACGAGCAGTTGACGCATACATAGGCAGAACGAACCGTCAGCTCCCATAGCGGATGGCCGAACATATTCCAGTGGTTGGTGAAATCGATGGCGCAACCGATGGCCAAGTGATTACAAGAAATCCAGGATCATCTGTTGCATAACATCTCATGGCAAGAAGACACACAGTTGACCCTAATTCGTCTTTCAAACTACTATTACGTAGTGCTAAAGTTTTAGCGATGAGTGAAGCACTGCTTATTCGATTACATCACCTTTGTATGCTTGGACGCGTGCGTTCACCATAATTGAGTAATCCCATGTGGTATGTATGTGCCCATTTGTTTTAGGTCAGCGGCTGAGAAGATTAAACGAAATGGTAACATCTCGCGACATTTATCTCCTCTCTGTTATGATGAAATGGATAAAGGGAACTCAATGCTTAAAAGTTTTGATTAGTGGTGACTTCGGTAATCACCGTTTAAAGAACGCCCACTTTATATCACATAAATGTGTGTATCTATGAGCCGACTACAAACCAAGCATTGAGGAAATATTCAGGGATCATTTCGGTATTTTTGAATTAGTCATTAAATAGTACTGGACTTCCAACTGTTTTGTTGATGTATGCCACTCTGTAGCTTACACAATTTTCGCAGGTCAACGACTACGGTTGGACTCATTATCAGTTGACGGAATTTTCCGTCACCGAGACGCAAGGATAAGGCCACAGATGTAGCAAATCGTTTATTGAACACGATCATTGCGATCCAATAGTGAGCACGGAAGTAGAGCATTGGCTGAACAACATTGAACAATTTCGGTTCCATTGCTCCCGGACATATGAGTCCATTTTGAACCAGGTCGATTATGGTTGGTCCTGGACAGCGGTTCCTCGCTGATAGATCTGAAGTTGTATTACGTCGGCTCTGTCACGGAGCGTCGGACTGCCACAAGATTATTCACCCAGAAAGTGTGAAACAATCAGCTTCTGCTTATATCACATCATGAAAAGTTCGGAATGTACCACATCATATGTGATAAGTTTACAGTGAGGACTTTTAGTGGCCACAAGGAAACAGTAATACGTCTCTTCCTGGCTGGTGTCGTCCGATCACCACAGACAAGGTGACAATACAGGACACCGTTTTTCTGTACACCTGGTGCCTTTCTCAGAAGATCCAGCTCTTGCAACACATACACTATGGAACCTCAAAATAATGGCGGTTTTCCCCCTTTTTAGCTGTACTACCAGTACGAACAAAAACCACTTTTCTTGACTCGTTTGTGATTAATCCATCCATTCACGAGTTTATTGAGAGTAATAAACTGCGTTGGGTTCACACAGTTTTGCTACATAAACCAATTTGAAATCTTAAGTAAATTATATCATACGATATCACCGTTCTGTAGGCCATTATCATTCTGCTCCTGTAAACAAATCTTGTTATATTTATTGTTTTTTTCGGACTCGATGATTATACTCAAAACCCGGTAATTCGTGTTTCCATTTGTAAGAATAATAAAACATTCAGATATTTTCTACCAAACATAACCTGTTTTCCTTAAAAGAATGTATAAAGTCACGCGAATAAGAAAATTAGTGTCGATCATGCACATGATACACTGTTTTTTGGTTAGAGTGAAAAAAATATCTCAGTGATATTCGCCGTATCTCTTAAAGTGATAATGATTCTTTTCATCCAATTCGATTTCCCGAGGTGAAGCTATTCGAAAGTGTGAAAACAACTGAACCCAATATTGGGTATATCGGCTACCTCGTTTTGTATGCGAATTCCGTCCCCATACAACAAAGGTCAGTCAATCTCGAAAGGTCAAATGAGAAAAACGTGACAATAGCATCAAGCGATGATGCACTTTTGTATATATCACATCAAGCAAATCTGGGCGGCGGCGGGGGGGGGGGTATTATTTTGCAGCTAAGATTATTTAGGGTAGTATTGTGTGGTGGGTAAAGAAGGGAGTTGGTGAAAATGAGTAAATTTCTGCGGTAAAGCCACTTCGGGTGTTGCTTACTCGTAATGGATTTTTCTTACTATATGTTCGAGTGTGATGAACAGGAAAAGTTCTGAACACCCCTGGTCATGAGGATCTCACATTTGACAACTAAAACCGATGTGATGTTAAGCCAGGCGACACCTAAACAGCCTTCCAGAAAAAAGTGGTATTGTTTGTTGCTGCTGGTGCAGGTGCTACTGTGGTCCAGTTGTTAATGATGGTAAGGTTCAAAGCTAGGAGCTCAGATCTAACAC